TTTTTTTTTCTTTTCTTTCTTGTATTTATTTGCTCATTCATTCATTCATTCATTTTTAGCTAAAAGCCAAGGATCTTACTTTGTGAAAAATGCGGCATTCAGCCCACCGTTCCCATCCAGCTCAGTCATGTTTTAGTCCAGGAGTGTCTTCTGTCTTGTAAATTGTCCTATGCTTCATGGATATGTGTATTGATCTGCTCTTTCTTTTAAATTAGTGTGTCGTTTCACGGTTGGCCTGGAGTTTATGCACTGCCACTGTGGACAGGACCTGAGATTCACTCACCCATTCACTCACTCACTAAAGTGCTCCTTGAGAGCTCTCGTTGGATGGAAGCCCCTTGCCACAGGCACTAGGAATAGATAGAAAGGGATTTTTCTCTTGATCGCTCACCGTCTGAGAGACAAATGAACAGTGATCATAGGTAAAGCTGATACATGTGGACGTCAGGCTGAGCCCAGGACATCTAGCCAGGGAGACCTGGGGGAGGCTCCAGGAAGCTCGCGTGAGGAAGTTGACCAAAGCCGAAACCTGCAGACCCAGTGTAGGGCCATGTCATCCAGTTGTTTTCGTCACAGCATGTGATTGAAAGAACATTACTTTCTAAACTTTTGTTAATGCTGATATAATGTGTCCCTCTGTTAACCCATCAAGATAGCATTTTTTCAACCTTTTATTCATTATTCCTATCATAAAGACAATTTTTGTAGACAATTTTCCTTCATCATCCTATGCTTTTTTTTCCATGTAAGAAATACACACAATTTAAACGTCGCCATATTGAACATTTTTAGCCATTTTTAAGTACATTCACAATGTTGTGCCAGTGTACCCCTATTTCTATAAGTTTTCATCTTCCCCAACTGAAACTTCTTATCCATCAGTGTTAACTCTACCTTCCCATACTCCTCTCCTCCTTCCTGTTCCTAAATCCCTGGGCAGCTACCACTCTATTTTTTTTCCTTACTCATTTGCCTATTCAAATATTTTAGTCACTTTTCTGTTACTATAACAAAATACCTGGGTAATTTAGAAAGGAAAGAGATTTATTTTGGCTCTTGGTGCTGGAGATAGAGAGGTCCAAGAGTATGGCACCCTCTTACTGGCAGGGACTCTACAGAGTCCCAAGGCAGCACATGTGTCAAGAGGGGCACAAACAAGAGACAGGGCCAATCTGTCTTTTATAACAGACACACTCTTAAAATGGATTAATCCACCTATCAGTTAATCCCTGGAAGGTTTACTCTATCCATGAAGGCAGAGCTCTCCTGACTTAATCGCCTCTTAAGGTCTCACTCTTAATACCTCACAATGACAACTCAATTTCAACGTGAGCTTTGGTGGAATAATGTAACCTGCCAGAAGGGGAATCATATGACATCTGTCCTTTTGCATTGGGCTTATTTCCTTTAGCCTCATGCCTTTAAGTTCCATCCAGGTAGGAGCATGTATCTGAACTCCATGCCTTTGTATGGCTGATAGCCCTCATGAAGTTCAGCAATACTTATTAAGTCTGTGTATTGTGGACCTCTAGAGGACTACAAACCATTGCAATATGTATGGTTTCCCTGCCTCCCAAGAACCAATTCCATCCCTTTGGGGTAATATCCCCCCATTGAGAATTAGATTTAAATGCATTAAAATGTAACCTGTGTGGCATTATCCGCCTGGTTCTCCATCCATTCTGTTGCCAGCCACTAGCTCTGTGTCACATGGAAGGTACTCAGCAGTCATTGGTTGTGTATTTCCCAGGATCCTTCACAACCACTCTTTTCTTCTTATTTTAATCCACTACTACTAAAAATCACTCTTAGAGTATTTACATATGTATTGCAACTCTCAATGCCTCATGCTGCCCCTACAGCCCAGCATGTCTACGTGCTCATATCCCCAGGTCACACACACAATGCTCAGTTGACCTGTGTCTGCCTCTTGCTTCACAGAAGTGAAAGATTATGAGCCTCCCTTCGGTTCCAAAGTGCGGGAGCACCCCTGTGTTGAGAGCATGAAGGACAATGTGTTGAGAGACCGAGGACGACCAGAAATCCCCAGCTTCTGGCTCAATCATCAGGTAAGGAGTGACAGCTTTGAAAAGTGAATAAGAGTCATCCAAAGGAACCTCTAACTTACTTAGAGAGAATTCTGGGATATTGGACTTAAATCAGAAGGCAGGTCCCCTTGTGTCCTATAACCCTCTTCAATTTGTTTAAAAAGACATTTCAATACAGTTGATGATCCTATTTTAAGTTGCAAGCAGCAGATATACACAGCATTCCGAGAGCTCACAAGTAACCATTTGAAGAGCATTTGTCACATTTTCCAGGCCCCCTTGGTTCTGAGTTAAAATGCTTGCTTGCAGCCTCTGCTGTTCACTCTCATGCCTTCATATCAGGAGTTTATGTCTCAATCCCTCTGGGTTCCAAGTCATTTCCTCTGGGATTCTTCAGCTCCGGAAAGAAATACTTAATGATTGCAAAACAACCAGGGTTGTCAGGCAGCTGGGCTGAGAAGGGGCTGTGGTGTGCAGGGGCCATGAGTAGGTGTTTGCAGGCTGTGCCTGCAGAGCTGGGAGAGGCTCATGTGCGCACACCTGGGGAAAAGGGGCTGGCTTGTCACTGTGGATGCAGGAAGGCAAAGAAGAGGAAAATGCCAGGGAAAGAGGGGGAGGCCTGTGTGCTGGGAACATCCTAATGGCTTCTTAATTTTTCTTTTTAAGAAATAGAAGCTTGGGGCTGGCTCAGTGGTAGAGTACTTGCCTAGCATGTGTGAGGCACTGGGTTCGATCCTTAGCATTACATAAAAATAAATAAAGTTTTTAAAAAAGGTATTGTGTTCATCTACAACTAAAAAAAAAGTATTTTTTTAAAAATAGGTCATCTTTGTTTATTAAAAAAAAAAGAAAGAAAAAAAGAAGAAATAGAAGCTAAGTGCCAGGCTTGGTGGTACACACCTGTAATCCCAACAGCTCTGGAGTCTGAGGCAGGAGGATCATGAGTTCAAAGCCAGCCTCAGCAAAAGCGAGGTGCTAAAGCAACTCAGTGAGACACTGTCTCTAAATAGAGTTGGGAATATGGCTCAGTGGTTGAGGGCCCCTGACTTCAATCCCCTGTACCCCCCCCCCCCAAAAAAAAAAGGAACTAAAAGCTAAGACTTCCCCTAGCGGACCATAGTCTGGACTTCCCAGGAGGCTTGTCAAAATTCTTTGCTTTGGGGTGCACTTGAGGGCAGTTATCAAAGAAAAAGGAGACAACAATAGGTTGTGAATGAAAGATAACTGGCCCTATGTCTGATACACCCACGAAAGGGCCCTGGTGAAGAATAAGAGAGAAAAATACCCCACCCCACCCCCAGCTCACTGACAAAACAGTTCTTTCTACCAAGCAAAACCCTTGACGACCTCCTTTGGAATGACCTCCTTTGGATGGATTCCGTCATCCATAAAGTCATCCATAAAGGCGAGGCTATGTCACAGGTTTTCCTAAGGGCAAGGCAAATTCAGATAAGAAACAGAAACAACAAATCAGGCGTAATAGGGAAGACAAATGGAGCAGGAAGCCTGGTCTGAGCCAGTCCTGGCCCAGAGTCCCAGCAGAGGACAGATGGAAATAAGTCAGAGTGCAGAGGGTCAGGAGTTTCTCTGGGGCTTCAGGAGAATTGTCTCCGACTCTAAAAATGCAAGACTGTTTGCATAAACTCTAAAGTCAGAAGGTACTGGAGTGGTATGTTCCTTTCAAACCCCGTTACCTCCTCTGTTGTACGTTTCTTATAATGAAGCCATTATTCATGATGATAAAATTCTGGAAAGAATTTGCATAATACATTTTTTCTCTTAATGAGATTTGTTGCCCTATTGATTTCAAGTTAATGCTTAATATTTAATTTAATTTACTGCCTGTAATTACAGTGTCAGAATAAAATAAATGTTACCGAGTACCAACAATAACACTCTACTCTTAACAGGGCCATCAATCAATACCGTCAATTAGGTGAATTATGCAATTAATTCAACATCAAGAACTCATGGGGTAGGGAGGGAGAGAGGGATTCCTAGGTGTGTTGGGAAAGTTGCTGGTATTGGAAAGCATATGCCGGCAATCCAAGACAGTGTGAAGGTATGTGTCCCACTCCAGCCACCTATGGGAGAGATCATCAATGGTAATATTGACCCTCTATGTGGGAGGAACTCTTTTTATTTCTGTCTGTCAGCCTGTTTAACTCCTACCTGCTTTTTTTAAAAGAAAGAACTTGAGATGGTAACAAAAACACTAGCAATACAAAATAAAAGTTAAGCCAGTGAGAGAAAACTCTCACCACATTCCTGGGCAGCATTTCCTGAATGGATTTATTGGATCAGGGTGGTACAGTGGATCCTACGAAGTAGCTTATAGTCAAGTACCTCTGACATACAAAGACAGTGGTATCACCAGGTCCAGCCTGATATCCACAGAGGTCATCCTTGGCAGCTCTTGGAAGCTGCTACTGAGTCACAGACTTTACAAATGAAAGGAGGCTAATGTCTGTCTGTCCACCACTCTGGCCTGGGGTATTGGCCCTGTTACAATAGAAAGGTACAAATGATCCAGGTATAAAAACTATAGACAATAAAAGGCAAGGGAACTGGGTGTAGCGAGGCACACTTGTAATCACAGTGGTTCAGGAGGCTGAGGCAGGAGGAACCTGAGTTCAAAGCCTTTTTGGTTGGCAGCGAGGCGCTTAGAAATTCAGTGAGACCCTGTTTCTAAATAAAATATAAAATAAGGCTGGGGATGTGGCTCAGTGGTCGAGTGCCCCAGAGTTTAATCCTCGGTACCCATCCCACCCCATCCCCCTAAAAAAAGGCAAGGAAAGGAAGGAGAGAAGGGAGCAATGAACCGGTAGAGCACAGGGAAGGTGGTGGGGCGTGCAGAGAACTTGCACCATGTCATAGTATAATGGCAGATACATGTCATTACAAATTTGCCAAAACCCACAAGACATACAACATCAAGAGTCAGCCTCAATCTGAACTCAGAACCTGGTAAATGATGTATCACTGCTAGTTCCACAGACCCTACCCACTGATGGTCGTCTTTGACACTTTCCCTCCCACTCTAGGGCATCCAGATGGTGTGCGAGACGCTGACTGAGTGCTGGGACCACGACCCCGAGGCCCGGCTCACGGCCCAGTGTGTGGCCGAGCGCTTCAGTGAGCTGGAGCACCTGGACAGACTCTCGGGGAGGAGCTGCTCTGAGGAGAAGATTCCAGAAGACGGCTCACTGAACACTACCAAATAGCTCGAGTGGAGCAGGGCAGGCTGGGCCAAGTCCAAAGAGGCTGCCCCTCTCACCAAAGAACAGAGGCAGCAGGAAGCTGCCCCTGGACGGATGCTTCCCAGAAAACCAAGGGCGTCGCTCCCTCCCTATGAGCTGTGGATGAGCAGAAAAGCAGCGGCGTCAGGGAGTGGGTGACAGAGAGCATTCTATGCCTTTGACGTTGTCATAGGATAAGCTGTGTTAGCACTTCCTCAGGAAATGAGATTGATTTTTACAATAGCCAATAACATTTGCACTTTATTAATGCCTGTATATAAATATGGAATAGCTATGTTTTATATATATATATATATATCCATATATGTCTATATCTATATCTATAGCCATACTCTGAAAAGAGACGAGGAAAAAGATCAAATATTCCCAGGAAACTGGTTTTATTGTAGAGCTCCAGAACCGAGCAGAGAAGGAAGGATCCATGACAGCATTGGCACTTGACAATCACACAGGTGATGGTTCTCTGACTCTCCACTTGGGGAGCTTTGCATTAGGAGAGAGGACCCGTGTCTCCGAGCCTGCTTTGGCCACATTGCACTTGCTTTTGCAATAAATATTCCCCACATGAGAGTTCTCTTCTGGTCCTGGAGCTGAGTATACACTTGCACTGTGTTTGGGGATCAGTGTTCCTGGGGATCCTGTGTGCCGATTTTCTCCTGGACTTTTTGATTGGCAGCCAAAACCTGCAACTGATTTTGAACCTCCTTCTTCACAACCTAATATTATAGGGGTCAGATACTCAGACCCCTATAATACTTTAAAGGTTATCCCCATCTTTCACAGGCTGCAGAAAACAAGAACAAATTTCTTCCCACCCAGGATATTGCCACACCGCCTACTAAAAAGGTATTTCTTCTTTGTTAATCTTCCCCCTACACTTGGGCTACTCTTGTCCATTCCCAAATTTCATCCTTTCCTTAAAGCAAAACAAAAACAATACCCCCAACTCTAGGGCTTTTTTTTTTTTTTTTTTTTTTTTTGGCACACTGGGCTTGAGTCCCCGGCTTCTATGCAAACACCAATAGGTTTCATTTTTCTTGGCTCCCGAATGCTCTAGCACATTCTGGTCTAGAAAGGATTTCAACTCCCCAACACTGTTGCCGTCAGGATGGTGTCCTCAGGCACTCTGAACATACGTTTCATTTGGCCAACAGAGCATTTTGAAAAGTTGAGCCACTTTTTAAAAATATTTGGAGATTTTGCAGAAAAATTTGGATCCCAGGTAAGGAGATCAGATGGTTTCCAGTTTTCTCCAGTCCTCATCATTTACAGAAAGAAGGTGTGGACTCACTTAAAAAGCTGCTTCTCTTCTCACTGTAAACATTTGTGCTTTCCACTGTTCCACTTCCCACACATGCACCCTAGTTATCAAACCTGCCCCTAATTAAGATCCCTTATAAGGAGTATGCATTCAAGCTGTCCTTCTGTCCCTACATAACAGGGTTTTGACTGTCTTTTCTGGTGTTAAGATTTGAAGCTTTTACTGGACTAAAGGGGGTCTCCTTTATGTGGTCCTGGTTAACAGAAGTCTTTTTTTTGCTTCTGTGTTAAAAGTTTTTTTTTTTTTCCTTCTGCATTAAGAAGGGAAACTCCTTACTCCAGGAAATTTTCTCGTGATAACTGCTCTCTGCATCACACCAGCCTTCAACCCTTTGCAGAAATTATTCTTGAGGACTTGAATGTGGGATCTAAGAATCCCATTTGCAGTTAGGAAAAGCTGGGTCCACGTGGACCTGAGCAAAGAATGAGCTTTAATACTCCATAGGAAACTTGTTAATCCACAAACAAGTGTTAATGCTGCAAGTAACAATCTCTTTTTTAAAACATGTTTTTGAAGCTACTTATTTTCAGCCAAATAGGAATATTAGAGAGGAACTGAGAGCAAATGAGTTCTGTTTGGATTGTGGAAGCCCTTATCTCATTGAGGTTTTAGGGTACACGCTGAATTGGGGATGTACTTTCTAGGCACCCTGTTCCATGTGGGTGGGCTCAGTTAAGGACAACCTGGCTGCAATATCATGGAGGCACCCAGAAATTCCACTTGCACCTTAGGTCTTGCCGATGCCATCCCAATCGTTGTTGCTCATTGACCTCTAGTGGTGAATTTCTAGAATACTGGTCCATCCGTGGGATATGCCAAGATTTAAGAGTGTTACCACATCCAGGTCATCAGCATCATAAACTGGAATGTAGTATCAGATGATACTGTGGCTTGTTTTGTTTATTTTTCTTATACCAGAAAAAAGACCAAGGAATAACATTCTGTAGTTCCTAAACATACTGACATTCGTTCACTACTATACTTAAAGGGAAAAGTTTTATTCTTCTATGGAACACTTCAGCTGTACTCATGTATTAAAATAGGAATGTGAATGCTAGATACTCTTTTATATCAAAAATCTCAAGCACTTATTTTCATTCTATGCATTGTTTGTCTTTTATATAAATAAAATGTTTATTAGAATTTAATAAAGCCAAAATACTCAGGTGAGCATCCTGCCTCCTGTTTCTCTTCCTGGTAGTGAAACCTATTTGGCTCATTGGATTATTTTGTGATTTATAAAGAAAGCGTCACCAGAAAAGTCCTCTCCAACTTTTCCATATTTATTGCCTTCTTCAACGGTCCATCTCAGTTTTCTTTAAATAAATAAATAAAACAGTCACAGAAGCTCACTAATACTAGATGAAGCAGCTGCTATTGGCCTGCTCCTTATCCTTGTGTCCTGGCCGGTGTCACTCTACATGCCCACAGGACCTGTTTTCTCCATCCTGCCCACCAGCAGGCCATTGTCTGTCTTCTTGACAGCTGTCATGAGATGAGCTTTCTCCCCTATGCTTTCTTCCCAGATGCTGCATCTCATGTGTTTTGACTTCTCTGAATGGCAAGAAGAATGTGCCTTAGGAAGTTGACTCCAGGTTATTGTCTGACCAAGTGGATGAGATTTTTCTGCCTGAACTTCAAATTGTCTCTTACAATACGAGTGTTTTTGTTTTTTTGTTTGTTTGTTTTTTGTTTTTCTTGTGGCTGCTTCTGAGTTATCGACTGGACTCTTCATAACCAATGCAGCAGTGCTTACACCAGGGTTTCTCACCCATTGTACTGCTGATATTTGGGCTAGAATAAGCCTTTGTTGGGGAGAGGGAGGTTGTCTTGTGCATTGTAGGGAGATTGGCAGCATCCCTGGTCTCTACCCACTAGACTCCAGTAACGTTTACCCCATAGCTCCGGGCACCAAAAATGTTTGCAGACATTGCCAAGCATCCCTGGAAAACAAATCCCTTTTAGCCAAGAATCACTGAGCTAGATGATGTGATCCTACTGTGGGTGTTAGTTATAGCCTTGTTTTAGCTAGTAGCAACTTAATGGTTACTAGTTTTAGTGGTTACTTGCTCTTCCATTTACTAACTGTGCAATCCAGTCAAATTGCATAATCTCTCGGTGCCTCAGTTTATCATGTTTAAGTTGGATTTTATAAGCCTTATTATATACACAATGTGCCCTTGTGATAAGGAATATATGCAAGACTTTAGAGTTGCATCTTAAATCTGGAAAGCCTTCAATACATTTTGGGCAATACTAAGCTGGTTTAGGAAATACCAAGTGTTCCTCTTGCAAAGAGGCAGATTTTGAGATAAATCTTAGCATCAACAACATAGGAAAATAGACACATTTTACATGCTATCGGATAGGAATGAGAGAGAGTGCTTATTCACTAAGTATTTACCAAGGTGTTAGATTTAGTCCTCCACTAACTGAGTGAGATGGTGCTATGACCCATTTTGCAGTTGAGAAATTACATTATCAGAGAACTCAGGCAAGGAGCTCAGGGTCTCCCAAAGTAGAATCAGGATGCAAAGCTAAGTTGCCCCGGAACTGGAATTTGTAACAGCTGAGATACTTGGTTCTTTTAAGGAACTGGCCTGTCCAGCAGGATCAAACCTCACTCCATGAGGAAATGCCCCACTCCTCCATGGACACACATGATTGACATTCTTACCTCCCTCCCCTATGGCTCTGTTTGTTCCGTGAGAGCCTGGGAGGGGCTTGTTCATCTCTATGGCTCAGTTTTCTCTCCACTTACCTGATAAGAATTGTTTAAGCGCTCGCTGGAAGAATAATTGGGAGAGAGTGAGGCAAGGGGTGCAGACTGTGTTTCTTAATGTGCGAAATGTATACTGGTATCTGAGATGATTTCAGAATGTGCCAGACTTTAAAAACATTATTTTAGTTCGTCTGTTTTGATTTTAAAATGTATTAGAAAAACCTATTAACACATTAAGCCTGGGCTTTCACAACTATTATTGCTTAAAATGTGATCGAGTGAAAAAATTGAATTGATTTTTTAAAATAGACTAAGTAGATAATGGTACATATTTGTGGCAATTATAGGAGATGTGACTATGAATGATTGCAGTCAGAGAGATCCATCAAGGGAAGCACGTTCATATCAACTGCTAACATTTTACTGGGCACTTGGTAAGCACCATGCATTATTCTCTGCTTGGCTTTCTTTATCTGCATTAATCTTCATGAATAACCTTTGTAAGTAGTCTTACTTCCATTTTATAGATGAGGAAACTGAGGCAGAGAGCAAGGTCTTGCTAACAGTCCTGTAGCTGGTAATTACTAGCATCAGAATTTGAACTGAAGCAGTTGGACTCCAGAGCTCACATTTCTATCCCAAACACCAGACAAAGCTGGAATGAGAGACAACAATATGCAGTCTCTGAGGGACTTGAGGGTCTGGTTCAATAGTTCAAAATATGGAGGAGGGAGAGGCTGTTAGTACTGAAGAAGTGGGTTTGGTCATCAGGAGCCCAGGGGAAGAAAGTCATTCCTCAAACCAAACACACAAGGACTCTGGGCTCAAGCCCAAGAGCTTCAGCCAAAACAGGAGCCAAGGTCCTCTGACACCCTTGCAGGCTCTGTGCTGCTGGGGTTATTTCAGTTCTTGCTACTGCAAGGTCAGGAGCATTCCCAGCTGGCAGTATGCCACCAAGTGCCCTCGGCAGGGACCTAGTCCCTTGCACCATTCAACATCTTTTGAATGCAAGGTTCTCTTTGTGCCCAAGAGTTCCCATTTTGTGGTGACTGTTTTTGTTTTAAGCTTTCTATGCAAATGACATGCTAATGGTCCAGTCCTGAGGGAAATCCCTTCCCAAGGTGACAGGGAGTTTTCATTTCAACAGTGTGCCTATCCTTTTCTGCTGAAGCCACCACAGTTGGCATCTGCTCATTTTGTTCATTTTCCTCCTGAAATAGGCTGCCTATCATTGCTTATCACATTTCTAATTAGTTTCTTTTTTTACTTGAATAATTATAGCTCCACACTCCATGGGTTTGGGGCCATGCCTTTCAGGCCTACTTTGCAAACTATGCTGATAAAGATAAGGCTGCGAACTTGCCCACATAACATGGCCTGCCAATCAGTCTCACAGTGTAATTTAATTCTAATATACCTCCTGATCTTTGGTGCATTTAAAAATAACTTGTTAATAGTCTTCCTATTCTAATTTAGCTAAAATTGCACACACTGAAATGCTTGCTCTTTTGCATGCTCTCTCTCTTTCTCTCTCTCTCTCTCTCTACACACACACACACACACACACACAAAATGATCCTTAAAAATCATTTCTGTATGGCACCTATGCAGCACAGTGCTTCTGAAATTGTCTCCAAGTTCTTCCCTTAACCTGTTCCCATAATGGAAAACCACAGAACACAACAACTGTAGCCCTGGAATCTTAGGGTCATCAAAATATTCATAATGAAGTCTAAATATTGATAACAAAGTGAATAAAATAGAAACTCCTGGAGCTAGATGCCATTAGTTCAGATCCCAGCTCTGCAGCTTATTGTGTAACTTTGGGCAAATCTCCCAACTATTTCCATTTCTTGGTTCCTTAATGTATACAATGCTGACCATGATAGGCCCTACCTAGAGATGTTGTGAGAACTAAACAAGATGCCTTTTTAAAAGTGGTTAGAACAAAAGCATTAGTTATTATTATTATTATTATTATTATTATTATTACATTCCTTAAAATGAAGTTGTGCTGATGGAATATTTGAAGGATATATTTTCCCCCAAATCTTGGAGTTAAATCAACTTCTTTGAGGGGGCTATTTAATGCAGGTAAGTAGCATGGCTGAGAGGTAAACAAGGGGCCTGTGAGACAGGAAGCCTTAGCTATTAGTCTGGCTCCACCGCCCTGCTCAACAGAGGTTTGGCCCATCTGAAAAATCATCCCTGCCCTACCTACATAGAAAGCTGGAGAAAATGAAATGAAAGAAGAAATAAAAGACATGGGAAAAGTACCCAAATATCCTTAATGCGAGGTATAAACTCTCTAGGAACATTAGACCTTTATTCATTAATAACATTAGTGGAATTTTCAAATATAACATTTATGTATGGCATCGATTTATACAGATTTATACATATGCGAATTATCCTAAGCTCTATAAAGGAGGTATTATTTTCTTTTACAGTTAAGGAAATTGAGATAAGTATCTTATTCAAGTTCACTACTCCTCTGAACTATTTTTCTCTGTATTTTTTTTCCTTCATCTGACATTCATAAGTGGAATACAACATGGTACATTATCCAATATCTGCTGGCATCTTAAAAACAAGAAATGCATGCAACTCAGCATCTTATCCCAGCACCTAGCACTGAGTGGAGCATACAGTAGTCTTCTAATAAATGTGAAGAAAGAAATGGAGGCTCTTGGCCTTTAGAAGTCTGATCCACTTGAGGAGACAGACATACAAACTGCATGTCATCAGGATGTCCTCATCAGCAATGTCTTTTGGAATAAAACACCCTATAGCTAAAACTTCCTGGATTTTGCAAAGAAACTCTGAGCATGAGCCTGATTATTGTCCTGCATCTGCCCTTGTGGCACTAGCCATGGTCTTGTTCCTTGGTATCTTAAAACTCTCAATGAGCTTGTATTAGTTTCCTAGGGCTAATGTCACAAACCATCACAATCTACAAACCACCACGATCTTGGCAGCTTAAACCAATATAAATTATTATTTGAGAGACTAGAAGCCTGAAAACAAGGTGAATGCAGATCCACATGGCCTCTGAAAGCACTAAGGGAGAATCTAGACCAGACAGTCTCAGTCTAGCTTTGCTTAGCTTCTATGGGCTCCAGGTGTCTCACAGCATTTCTTGGCTTGTAGGCACATCACTCCAATCTCTGCCTCCCTCCTCAAATCACTTCATCCTTTTCTCTGTGTGTTTCTCATGAGGATATTTGTGATTTGATTTAGGTCTCACCTGGATAATCCAGGATCATCTCATCTCAAAATCCATAACTTTGTTACATTACTAAAGATCCTTTTTCCAAAGTGGATCACTCACAGGTTCCAGGGATTGGGACATGGACATATCTCCTTGGGGACACCATTCAACTACTACAGAGCTTAAACCAATTCCCCTGGTATGAATTCTTCTGAAGTGAAAAATCGCAAGTTTATAA